GCTTTGGCAGGGACTGTGGCCAGCCAGAGGGCTGCTGGGGACTCCTGAACCCTTGAGGTCATAACTGCTGTCCTCCTAAGGCCGTGAGCCCACAGCCTAGATAGGGAACTAGCCTAAGGGATTGGTCTCCAGCCATCTTTCATGGATAAGGATAAAATCTTAGACTAGAGATTTTCACATCTAATTTTCTTTCCTTAAATAAATCAATATATAAAATATAGTTCTAAGCTATTTAAAATGCTACAATCCAAATGGTCCCACAGCATAACTGATGTTTTGTCTGAAATAAGCACTGTGATTTCCACTTGCTTCCAATCTAAGTTTCTAAAGAGGCCTCCCTGGACATGAGGCAGTGGTTATTTATGGGGAGGAAGAGTGGAGACGATCTGGCACATTCCACCCTTTGCTCCTGCTTAAATTTTTTTCTAACACAAGCACATGTTACTTCCATAATAAGAAAGATGACAATTTAGGTAGTTCATTATAATAGCCAGATTGCTTTGGGCTAAAGTGTCTGTTAGGGACTGAGTGTTTATATCCCTCCCCCCCCCAAAAAATTCATATGTTGAAATCCTAACCCCCAATGTGATGGTATTAAGAGATGGCGCCTTTGGGAGGTGATTAGGGTTAAATGAGATCATAGGGTGGGGCCCTTGTAATAGGATTATTGTCTGTCTCAGTTCTGGCTGCTACAATAAAATACCATAGGCTGAGTGGCTTATGAACAACAGGAATTTATTTCTCACAGTTTTGGAGGCTGGAAGTCCAAGGTCAGGGTGTCAGCGTGGGTGGATTCTGGGTTGTAGACTGCTGGCTTCTTGTGGTATCCTCACGTGGCAAAAAGAGGGCAAGAGAGCTCTCTGGGGTCCCTTTGATAAGGGCTAATCCCTTTCAGGCAGGCTCCACCTTCATGATCTACCCACCTCCCCAAAGCCCCCACCTCCTAATACCATCATACTGGGGGTTAGGATTTCAACATACGAATTTTGGAGGGTGTCTGGCTACACTAAGGCCTGGAATCCTCACAGCGCCAATTGTCTAGCTCTTAATCCTGTTCATGATGCCAATTGTAAAGCTAGGTGACCGTGCTAGTTGTCGGGCTCTTTTACCTGCTGGTAATCCTGCACCAACTGGGCCAATTGTTCAGCTAGGGCTGGGTCTGGAGCTCCCAGACCCTTCAAGCTCATTCATAGACTGGGTCACCAGACCCCTCACATGCCAGGCTGGGTCACCAGACCCCTTGACACAGGCCTATGAGCTAGGTAACCGGACAAAATGTCCTTGGGAGCCACAGGTTGGAAAGCATGGCTGCGCCAGGTGGACACCTGAGGCTGACGCCCACCCCCCTGCTTCACCAAACTCCTCTCTCTCTCTCAAGAACACAAGAAGAGCAACAAAACTAAAAAGATGCATTGGTACACGTGCGCACTAACTTCTCACACACACACACACACACACACACACACAATTTGCTTACAAAGGATGCTGAACCACACCCAACTGGACCCAAGGTGAGGGCCCTGACCAAACTATTCTGTTTTTCCAACAGAGGGACACAAACATTCAGTTCATAACATTGTGCTTATAAGAGATACCAAAAAGTTCTCCTTCTCTCTTTCTCTCTCGCCCCCCCACGCCCCCCTCGAGCATGCACTGAGAAAAGACCATTGAGCCACAACTAGAAAGCAGCCGTAGGCAAGCCCTCACCAGGAACCGAATGGGCGGGCACCTTGATCATTGACTTCCCAGCCTCCAGAACTGTGAGGAATAAATGTCTATTGTTTAAGCCACCCAGTCTCTGATATTTCGTCATAGCAGCCTGAGCAGACTAATACAGTGTCATTGATCTTTCTTTGNTCCAGTAGTTGAAGGCTCCAGAGGTAAAACTCAGGAGCTTTCAGCAATTGTGTGTACTGCTGTGTGGAAGAGGCTAGTTTGTAGTGAGAGGGGGTGAAGGTGACAGGAGAAGTAGAAACAAGGCCTAGAAAGATCTCACAGTTTCCAAATGTACGTGGAGCCAATCCTGCCACGTGAAGGGTCTATCAAGTAGCACCTCAGTTCTTCATCCCTGGTTGGGAATCTGATAGGCCCTGCTGTAGTTTGAACGTCCCTTCAAAACTCATGCTGAAACTTAATCAATGTGGCAGTTTTGAGAAGTGAGGCCTTTAAGAGGTGATTGGGTCATGAGGGCATCCATGGATTAATGGATTCATGTGTTATCATGGGAGTGGAGCTGGTGGCTTTATAAGAAGAGCAAGAGAGACCTGAGCTAGCATGTGAGCATGCTCAGCCCCCTTGCTGCCATGAGATGCCCTGCACTGCCTTGTGACTCTGCAGAGAGTCCCCACCAGCAAGGCGGTCCTCACCAGATGCAGCCCCTTGACCTTGGACTTCCTAGCCTCCAGAACTATAGAAATGAATTTCATTTCTTTATAAATTGCCCAGTTTCAGGTATTACATCATAAGCAACAGAAAATGGACTAATATAGGCCCAAGTTGGAGCCCATGTTCATCACTGGTCCAATTGCTCAGGGCTAGGGACTGGGACAATAACACAATATGGCCCTCGGCCCTCCTTGGTGGCCCTTGAGGCACTTTTCAGTGGAGGCGTGATCCCTGTAGGTTCAATAAGTCTTCTAGAGGTGCCCACTCTGAGTTCAACCAGCCTGGTGTCATTAATTCCTTTTTTTGCCTATGTGTGCCCATTTCTCCAGAAGATTATTACTGCATTAGTATCACCTTGTTTTGGATCTCAGCAGAGCACTGAAATTGGGGGCTTACAGGTCAGAACTGGAGAACTGGAGAGTAGTACATAAACAGTGAAGGGACCGAAGACCTCAGAGCATGAGGCTCAGTTGAAGGGATGGCCCATAAAATACTGGGCAACCACGACAAGCCATGTGGGGACAGAGCCATAAGCCACTATGAAGACTAGGAGATGAGGATTGGGCCTAAAGGAGGGGTCAAGGTGAGAGGCTATAGATGGATGTTAATGGCCACTGGCACAGCCCCTCCACCTGCCCGATATCAAGAGAATGAGAAGACTAGCTATAGACTGGGAGAAAATATTTGCAAAAGGTCTAATAAGGGCCGGCCCGGTGGCGCACTGGAGAGTGCGCCGCTTGGGAGTGTGGCGGCGCTCCNAAAAAAAAAAGACAAAAAGGAAAAAAAAAAGGTCTAATAAAAGACTGCTATCCAAAACATACAAAGAATTCTTAAAACTCAACAATTAGAAAACAAACAATCTGACTGAAAACTGGGAAAAAGACCCAAACAGACATCTCCTCAGAGAAGATACAAATGGCAAATAAGCATATGAAAAAATGCTCAACCTCACATGCCATTAAGGAATCATAAATTGAAACAATAATGAGATATCAATGCACACCTAATGAGGATGGCCAAAATCCAAAATGTTGACACCAAGTGCTGGTGAAAATGTGAGGCAATGGGAACTCTCATTCATTGCTAGTGGGAATGCAAAATGGTAGTCACTTTGGGAAACAGCTTGGCCAGTTTTGTCACAAAACAAAACATTCTTCCATATGGCTCAGCAATCACACTCCTTGGTATTTCCTCAAATAAACTGAAAACTTCTGTGCATACAAAAGCTTGCACCCAGTTGTTTACAGAAGCTTTGTTCATAATTACCAAAACTTGGAAGAATCAAAATTTCCTTCGGAGGTTAATAGATAAATAAACTGTGGTACATCCAGACAATGGAATATTATTCAACACTGGAAAGAGATGAGCTATCGAGCCATCAAAAGACACAGAGGCACCTTAAATGGGTATAACTAAGTGAAAGAAGCCAATGTGAAAAGGCTATATATTGTATGATTCAACTATATGACATTCTGAAAAAGGCAAAACTATGAAACAGTAAAAAAATAAGTCATTGCCAGGGGTTGGTGGAGGGAGGGATAAATTGAGCACAGATGATTTTTAGGACAGTGGAAATACTCTAAATGGTACTATGATGGTGGACATGTCATTACGTATTTGTCAAAACCTGTAGAACATACAACATCAAGAGTGAACCCTAATGTAAACTGTGAAGTCTGGGTGATAATGATGCATCAACAAAGGTTTATCAAATGTACCACTGTCGTGTAGGAAATCAATAGACAGGGAGGTGGCGCATGTGTGGGGACACAGTAAATGGGCACTCTCTGTACTTACGGCTCAACTTTGCTGTGAACCTGAAACTGCTCTAAAAAATAAACTCTATTAAGAAAAAACACAACAACAGGAAGAGGTACTCATGGGGGACACTAGTTTTGGATGATGGGATGAAAGATATCAACAAATTCTGTCCCCAGAGAGCAGGTATAAAGCTGGACAAAATTGTCAAGAGCAACAATTTCAGTATTCTGGTAAGGACCAAAAAATCACAATAAACTGAGAAGTGATGATTCATGAAAACTACTGGGCTACAAGTAAGAACAATTTGAGTCTGTGACATTTCCTCCACGGGCTGCTAACAGTCCTACAGGCCCCAGCTCTGTTGGTGTGGTAGTTCAGTCAGGCTGAGGAAAGCCATTGAAGCCAGCAGCTCTGCTATCACAGCCAGAGGGACTCACGATTTGGAGAATTTTCAGACAAATTGGTGACTTTGTGCAAACAAACAGGAAGGACCAGCAGTTCTACTAGTCTCATCAGACACTAGAGCCTACCCAAACCACCCACACATCCCCGACTAATGGTGGAGGTGAGTGCATGTGCAGAGGAGAGCCTGGTAGAAGGCAGACACCAGTGATGCCAGGATTCTGAATGCACTCCCTGTCCACACACATCATCACCAAATAGTGGAAGCTTCACTCACTCAAGGTGTCTGTGTGCAAATTCAGACAACTGTTGA